GGGGGCATCAATCCTTCCTCACCATTTTATACCTTAAATGGACTCAACCTCAATTGTTATTACCTAGAACTTGCCGAAATACTGACCAATGCAACTGACACAGGAGAAATAATTTCAAACCCTAAAAAACAATTAATATATATTTTTTTCCTTTTACCCACAGGTCTACCCACGGATAGCGCCGGCATTTTGGCACTACCTGCGGGTAGAAGTGAGTAGCGGGTGCTTGACTTCCCCCACCGTGGCTCCTGGCCCTGTGCTGCTGTGACCTGGTCTGACGCGCCCATTCTGCTCTAGGATGCCGCTGCCTTTCTGTGCAAATGTGCTCTCGCGCCACCGTCATTCCTTGGAGTTGGGCCAGAAATCCAAATCACTAAAAACATAAGCACAGCTTCTATAGGATGAATCATCTTTCTTAGTAAACTTCCAAGTCAAGACCATATCATACGCATCCTAATGATAAATAACTGAATGTTCAATTATGGGAAATCATGCTTATACTTATTTTCCGCTCCATGCTTTAGATATTCGGACATAATCCCTCAGCTTAATGTCAGACTCTCTGCAAGATAAAGGCAGAGCCACAGGGCTTCACAGCCTCTCTCCTTTTGTCTATCCTTCAGGAGCATGAGCAGCTGACCTACTCCTCCACGAGGTCCAAGGCCCCCAGTGTCATCATCACAGGGCTCAAGCCTGCCACCAAATATATATTCCATATCCGAGTGCGGACTGCAACAGGGTACAGTGGCTACAGTCAGAAGTTTGAATTTGAAACCGGAGATGAAAGTAAGTTTCTCCAAGGACATAAAACATGGAATTCATATAATGCCATTCCATTTTACCTGATGTTTTAAAATCTGATGTCTTTAAATTCCTAATAGTTTCTTGAAGTATAAATGCTCTCATAGTCATTTCAGTTAATTTTTGATGCAGCCACCAGTGGTAACATTAATGGTGTGACCATTAAGTACTTGTATGAACCGCCTTGCTGGACCACAACTGTAATATGGCACAAGTACGATTCTTTATGCAGAATCCATTACTCACACTATAACACAGGGGATTCTCAATGGATGCCATTAGCCTAATTGTTCTGTAATTCTGGCATCATAACCGGACACTAATGAAAACTGGGAAAAGAATAAAACCAGGAGCAAATCAATTTAGCAGTTAGTTCAAAATTGTGCCATTTCGGCTTGTTATCTCAGTTAGACCAATAAAAAGAGTGGTCAGAAGACAAACACTGCTGAAATGCACTTAGTACGTTTAAATATAGATGGATGGACTTAATCAGAAGCTCAGCTTCATAGCCTTGACATACTGGAAGCCAAGCAGGGAAACACAGGGAATGAGGTGTTCTAATGGCATGTAACAAAGACTTTGAAATTTTAACCCATTCTAAACCAAGTTCTATGATTGGATTTGTTCTTGGAGTTTAGCAATTCATCTCACTACTGCCCTTCTGTAGGGGTAATATGTATTACTTTTCACTTACTTCTATTAAAAAATGCCCAAATATTGTGTTATAATATAAAGCAACTTCCATCACTGTGAAAATACAGATATTTATATAAGAACCCAAGAATTACAAATTTGCTGTTAATTGAATTTGAATAAAGATAATGATAGTTACCAATTAGTGAGCCCTTAAGTTCCAGAAACTCTGTAAAATATTTTACATGGATTATCTCATTTAAACCTTTCAACATCCAGTGAAGTAATTTTCATTTTCCTAAATGTGTGTCTGAGAAAACAGAGACCTGGAGAAATGGGGCTATTGGCCCCCAAGTCATTGGGCTAGAATTTGAAACTAAAAGCTGTTTTCTTTCTTGCTCAATGCACCATCTTGGAAAGTACAACCCTTTGAATTATTTTAAAAGTGCTACTTATAAGATCATTAAAGAGATTGTAGTCCTTATGTTTTCCTCTCAAAGTGAAGCCACTTGGGACTTAAATTCTATGAGAGAAAGTCATTTGCTGTGGTGGCTGCTTTTCATTTTGGTGCACACTGTCAACGTGTAAGACCTTCTCAGTTAAAATGGTATGTGAGGTAGTTAGTTTATTGTGCCAACCTGGCTGATAAACACATGTGGGGTTAATTGAATGGCGGAGGGATACATGACTCGGTGAGCCTCGCCTTTCTAGTTCTCGGGTCTCTTGCTTTGTGATGATGGACAGACCAGGGCACAGCTGCCTTAGCCAGTCCCTCCTTCAGCTGACAAGGCTCACTTCCTGCAAGACATCCCTGAGGAGAAGCCACATGTATGTTTAAATCAAAGGTAGAAAAGGGATGAGATGTTGAAGTAGAAAAGGACACAGCTGCTTCTTGTTGTTGTTGTTGTTAGGTGTCATTGAGTCCATTCCAATTCATAGCAACCTGAGGCACAACAGAATGATGCACTGCCAGGTCCCGAGACATCCTCACGGGTGTTGTGTTTGAGCCCATGGTGGCAGCCACCATGCCAATGCATCTGCTCAAGGGCCTTTCCAGCTGAGATGGATTAAACAAAGAAGGAAGAGGACGCTTAAGAACTCCTCACGCTGTCAGTGACAGTTATTTATGATCCTGTTGGAGACTACTGGCTCTCAAGCTAGATACGAACTAATTGTGATTAAATGGTAATTATCAGAAAATATGGCTCGGCAATAAAAAACAACATGAACATTTCCACAGGCCTTGGCTACGGTCTGTTGATTTTGTTTTTGCTCTTGCCCATAGGACACACCTTATCTTAAATCCAAAACTAACGATGTCATCCAAATAAAGAGTGGCCCTGGGAAGAGTAATTGTCCTTTCCACACTGTTTATTGTACCCTTGAATCTCAATGTTCCTCCTATCCCAGATGAAGACATTTACCTAATGATCAAAGATGATGACATTTTTAAGTCAGAAATCCACTTACGCTCAGATGAACACGATAGAGTAAATCTCAACAAGGTGACTGGAGCTTCCAGAGAAAGCAATCTGGGTTAATGGGGAAAAACAAGTTAGGATCTAAATATTAGCCATCTGATTCAGTGTGATTGTGTAACTCTGAATTTCAAGTCATTTGAATTCTCTCGGGTGCTGTATAGAAGAAAAATTATCTGAAGTTGCTTAGCATAAATGTCCGATATTTGCCAGTGATTCATTCATTCTACCATCCAACAAAAGTGTACGGAACACTTAATATATGCCAGACCCTGTCTAAAACTAGAGGCTAAAATAAAGATGATGAAGAACTATAGCTTCTGGCTTCAAATTGTTCACTGTTTAGACTTTTTAACACAATTTTAGAGAATATGTATTATTTAAAACTGCAAGGGGTGTTTTTTGAGCATGGAAGAGGGGACCCCTACTTAGCACCAATGGATTAGGAAAGTAATCAGGAGGATGAAGTCCCTGGCAAAGCAGCACAAATTTAAAAGCCAGCGAAAACAGGAATGGTTTATGAATTATCATATAATGTGGCATGCTGCAGTGATGGGCCATAGATGGGGAAAAGATGGAAAATTAAGAGGGAAAGCTATTCAAGGACAAGCATGAAGGTACTCTCTTGGTCATGAGCCTTATCCTGATTACAGAACGGACCCATATGAGGTTTTTAATTAGGGAAAAGCATGATTAGATTTTCATTGAATAGGTACTATATGGAAAACTATCCCTAATAATTAGAAAACATGACTTTATTTAATCTTGACCAAAGTATAATCTTCTTAAGAAATATAAGTTGTTCTGCTCAGGATATGATAGCTGGGTATAAGTGTAGAGTTGGAAGCCAGAATAATTTGATAATGGCAGCAGGACAGAGTCAGAATCATGCTATGAATTACTTAGTCATGAGAGCCATGGAATGACCTTGGTCAGACGAATGAAGAAGTAAAGTGCCTGCAAAGAATCCAGGGGGGGGGGGGGGAAAGAAGGAAAGGAAAAATGTCTGTCTAAACCTTGAGTTTGGGGACAATAAGAATAGCTCCTAAATCTACTTACAATCTATGGGAAAATCGTTTTAAGGATCATTTTTAATCTGGTTAGTTTTAAATTTCACTTTCCAAGCATGCTAGATATATCAATTTTTTTTCAATGAATAATGTCAAAGTTGGATATGAGTGGGTTTACCACATCCAATGGTATTATGATATGATCCAATGATCATTATAATATTAATTCAAATTGACAACATCAGTCTTTTTTGCTCCATGTTATCCTAGGCCATCTTTAAATTATTATAGCTTCAGTTTCCAGGTGATGTTACGATTATTGTAATGGCAGCTTTTGAACTTTTTTTCTCATGCATTCTGTCTAATTTGCTAACTTTATAAGACATGCATAGAGTTGGGTTGAGGGGTTGGGGAGAAATATTAGATATTTAGATTAGATTAGCTATGTTAGGTGATAGTCTGATTGAAGTTTTTAAGTAACCAAAAATGAATTGTTTATTCCTTTATTCTCTCTATCCATGCTCCTTTTACATTGTCCAGCCTCTGGTCTCCCCAAAAAGACAAAAATTCAAATTTTGAAATAATTAAATTTTTAAAATCATAAATTTTCAGAAATGACTACTAGACCTTTATAAACATAATTACAGTTGAAGAGCAATCACAGTGATGCTCTTGAACACCATTCTTGTCTATCAAAATCATGGCTCAGAATTTTTACCAGGAGTAAGACATGCTAGGGGGAACTGACTAAAAAATGTACACAACCTCTTTAAAAGAGGCTGTTTGAACTAAACTTACTCATTTCTTCTCTGCTAAGTCTATGTGACACCACTTCATAAACCCATATGGAAGTAGGTACATTAAAGATAGGGAAATATATGATTGATAGATAACAAAGAACAATAGACACAGAGATATTTTCTCATAGTCATTAAATACTTTCGTGTTGGCATTTTATCTCTCTCCTATCATCATGTTCCACTAAAGAATGTATTTTAAGTAGGTATGTTACCTATGAATAGCATTTATTTAGTATCTATTTTGTACTTTCCTTTTTACTAGGTGCTCTATTTGATTCATTTTTATAATAGACATAACAAATTACATAATCAGTAGTGAGAAAGTAAAAGTATATAAAGTCTACATGTGAATCTTCTTGAAAGATAGATTGGTATTTAGAACCAGTCTAATCATAGAAACACTTTAATATTAAGATAAAATTTATACTATACTCCAAATTTTCAAATACATGTAAAGTAAACCTGCAATGATCAAGTAAAAACTCCTGAATTTATATCGAGGAAAGACTAGAAGTAAAAAGAAATGTACCACACCACGTATTCTTTGCTACAATTTCTAAGCTTATATTCTTGAATTTTTGATGAAGATAAAGATAATAATTAGAAAGTAAAAGTTGTCTATATGACTGTAAATATTTTTCATGTCGTTAAAAGTACCTTGAAACATAATTGATATTCTTTTTTTCTCAAAACATTTCATAAGAACATCATCCAGACATCATACACACTAGAGTTCAGCCATGTTGAGCAATGTCTGCACAATCTCCACCACGATCACCTTCAAAAAATGTTCTTCCTTCGTGTATTCCTTGATATCAGCTGCCTATTACCCTCCCCATCTCCCCTGCTGTACATCACCCACAAAAAAACCTTATTCTAGTTATTTTCCTTGTATATCCACCCATCCTGACTTTCATATACTGAAAACTAGAAAACCACAAAACAGAGCATTAAGAAGACTACTAACAGTAACAATAAACAACAAAGATAAATCCAAATTTGAAAAAGACAAACAGAAGATATTAAAAACAAGATCAAGCTCAACGCGTATAAAAAGGGAGAGC